ACGCTTATTAAGTTAACCTTAGAATAAGGATTTTAAGCAATCAAATCCTTATTAATACTCTAGATAATAAAATGATTCTTATTATCTTATAGGATCTACTTATTTTTAATATTCTACATTTTTGTATTTTAAAGAGTCTGCTTTTTCCTTAATTTTTAATGGTATTTTAAGCTTTTTCTATACATTTTGTAGACTAATTTCCATTTAATGTATGCTTTAAATGATACTTGCTTAAAGTTAACTAGTTTATTTAATAAATTTATAGATATCATTTTTAATAATTATTCTTTTATAAGAATTATTAATTTAGACTTCGAGCTGCTTAATATTATTCCCATTATTATTAACAAGAAACAAAAAAAGAAAAAATAATCGATAAATATTTGAGATATTTCTATTAATTTTTAGGTTTATGGATTTTAATTTTATATTGCTAATAGAAAAATCTTCAATATTATAAGAGTATATGATGCTGTCTCACACTTTTATATGCTAAATGAAACAAAAGGATTATTTTAGGATACCATTTTAATATAGTAACATATTAGTATTGAAATTGCTAGGATGGCTATATATTAGTTATTTCTAGATAATAAAGTGTGCAAATAAATGATAGCAATCTTTAGATAAATTCTAATGAACTCCCAATAGTAATACTTATCTTTTAATTCTCCATAGTAATAGCCATATTTATATTTTATTAAACACTAATCTAAATTTTTCCTGTTTTTTTTAATTTACTTTAGAAGCACTAATGGGAAAAGAGTCCAAAAACTTAACACTGATAAAGAGAAAGGATAAAGATATTTAACTACACTAGCTTCATAACATTTTATTGTTAAATCTATAGGATTATAAAACTGACTTCCTATTTCTTTACAAGTAAGTGATTTTGAAAAATAGGATATCTAACTCATTTAAAAGTAAATAAAAATTATATGAAACAGCAAATAAAAATGGTATTTTCTTAATCTCACTTTTCCAGTTTATTCATAAAACTTAAGAGTCAAAGGAATTAAAATGAGTGCTATTATAGGAACCAAAAATTAAATTTAGGTATAAAATAATATTTTATTTAGCTTTTGAATAGTACCTTCGCTAATAAGACAATCAATTCCCAATTAAAGTTATCTATCACCAGATCCAAATATCTCACTCAAGAAATTAAAATTAATTGAAATAACTTTTGGTTGTTAAATTAGAATAGACGATATTTGATAGTAGTTTAGAATTATTTTTATGTAAAATCCAGAATAGTCTTATATGCTGTTACTACTGATTGGAATTACTTTCAATTTTCTCAAATAATAACAAGTTTAAGTATAATTAAATTTTTTAATAAAAATATCTAAAACATTCAAGAAGTATGCTTCAAAAAATATTATTTTTAAAACCAAGTAAATCCATTAATTGAGCTTAGGGCCACATATTTAGCAAACTCCTTTGGAAATAGATTCTGAGTAGCGTGAACCTTTCCAAATTTCACCTAAAATATCGCATTGCCCACAAATAGGGCCCAAGTAGCCAGTTGAGCAATAATTTATATTAAGAGGATTTTGTGCTTAACACGAGTTTACAATAGGATCACACTCTATAATTTCATCTGTATAGTTGCTTTTTCTCCAGAATCCATTTTTTAAAGATATTTTATTTCCTTCACACTTGATAGCAGATTAAGGACAATTTATACATCGATTTACATCACTTCTTCCTTTTATAGAATCATTATAAAGTTAGAGTGGGTCATTTATTTGATAAGTACCTTCCTAGCATTAATTGCATTAATAAATTTAATCATTTATATGTTAAATAACCTCACCTGCAATACAATTTCTGAAACTAATTGATAAGAGAATTGGTTATTTAACAATAGAACTGGTATAAATTGTTGAATTAACAGAAAAGAATAACTCATTACTAGATCCAATTATTTACAAATCACTAAACTCAAAAGCTAAACTTTATGAATTATACTAGTAATAATTTATTATTTGTTGCCCATTTATTAAGCTTTAATTGGATTAAAGTCCATAAATTGAAACTTAAATGCTTTTTAGCTCAGATTCTATTTCTATAGGGTATTCACTATTTACCAGCATCTCTTTTGAGAAACTCAGATATCTATTCTAGTTATCAATTATATACACCTTAAAATATATGAACCCACCACTTCGAAATTCTTTTATTTCAGCTAATCTTGAAAAGCTTTACTCAAGCTCCTTGGGTAGAATATTAGTTTAGTTTTCATAAAATGTGAAAAAATAGCTATTTTATTAATTATTATTTGAAAGTATAATATTTTATAGATATGATGTGCTATCATTTCCATATATATCAGCTAAATTTTAATACACATTATGTATAAAAGGAAAGCCATAAGGTAACTGAATCTGATTTTCGTCAGTCTAAACAATCCTTAATCCACCTCCAATTAAAGCTCTATTATTTATGATATTTGTATCCAAGTCAAAGATTACTTTGCATGATGGTATGTTTTCAAAGTACAAAGCTCCGCCACTACTTAAGGCAGTATTCTATTCAAATTAGCATGTTTTAAAATTAATTGTTTATTGAATATCTTTAAAATATATAGCTCCTCCATTTTGTGCTTTATTGCCTTTAAAATAGCTATTATTAACAGTAACATTCTAAGATTTCATAATTAAAAATGATCCTTCATTATTAACGTAAGTTAATTTATTAAAATTAACATGCGAATTTTAAATAGACAAAATAGTTTTTGTTGGAAATATGTTTTACTCTATTTTAACATCTTAGAAAACTAAAACATCTTATTCTAAAACGGTTGTTTGATTTTCATTAGAGTATGAATTTTAGGTATAAAATAGATTTAATTAATTATTTGTTTAAAATTAACAATTTGTTAGATTTATTATTTAGCACTTAGAAAGGGAGATAATTCCATAGTCTTACTATACTATATAATTACTATTATTTTTAATTGATAAATTTAAAAGGGTTAAATTATAAATATTTAAAAAACACATCAAGCTATTTAAATTTGTGTTTTGTACTACAGTTAATCCAGATATTTAAATTGTATTTACTGAATCAAATTAAAAAATTGGTATCTCATATATCTGATTAAAATTATTACTCAATATTTCTAGGTTGTAAATTAAAATTTATGATATATTATTAAAAAAGAATAAAGAGTTTGCTTAGTTGAGGTTACCTGAACATTCTCTAAGGTCTTACTAAGATATTTTAATATTTTAAAAAATAATATTTTGAACGTTTGAAAATATTATTTTATTATTACTAAAACATTAAAAACTTATTGTAATATTCTAAAAAATAATTTGTTAGGTATTTGAATTCTGATTAATATTGATATTTAAATTTGTATTGTTTTAAAAATCTAAATTAAAGTTAGCAAGCTAAAAGATCGGTAGACTTAGGCTTTAAAAAGTATCATTTGAGAGAAGTACAACACTATTCTAAATATTATATGAAGAAACCACAAATTATCTATTTTAATATTAAGAAGTGTATTAGATTGCTTTTTATAGGTCAATACTTGTAACTTATAAATAGACATAACTTTAATAATTTTGTAAGTCGATTAATGAGATTCCATTTATTGACTGAGTTTAAATTTGTTTTGGATAAACTGAATTTAAATTTTGCTAGACTTATGCTATATCAGAATTCGATATTAAAAGAGTGCATTCTGATATTTAATCATAAGAAAAAGTATCTAAATTGTAATTATTTTCAAAAATTCCGTTTTAATGCATTCCTATTATTTTAACTTAATTGCTTAAAGAATCGAAATGATAATCTACAATTTTAGGATAAGAATAATTCTGCTAGGAAACTAGGTTGACATTTTCTCCTTGAATTAAGAATAGTTCAAATTTATCAATGAAAAAAATTGCTATTACCTTGTCTGAAACAAAAAAAAAGTCTATTATTTTATCTTTAATAAAATTTTTCTTAATAACAGTAAAAAACTGGATGGAAGCGTCAAGATGAAATATATTTATTTAAAAAGCACAAGAAATAAGTATATAATTTTGCTCTATCTTTAACTTTTTAATTTGGATTGAGGGTAAAAATAGATATTATTCTTGCAATTATTATTAGTAATTCCATACATATGCTTTTTTCTGGCCTAAGAAGCAAAAAATATATCTTTTATATGCTTAGTCAACTAAAAATTTTACTATGGTAGTATTATGATCTTCATTGACTAGATTTTTTAAATCTATCTATTAAATTTATTGCTTATTAGAGATATTTATTTAGGTCATTATTCCATCACTCGAAACAGCATAAGCTACTTACTCAGTTTCTATAAACTAAATGATTATTATAGAAGAGTTAAGAGGGCTTTTAAAAGATACTCCAAATACAAATTATTATTTGTCAACAAGACTGTATAAAAGAATTTATTTATCACTAAATCCTACTAAGATAAAGTCTTGGTTCTTATTTAAGCAATAAGAAGTTACTAGCTATGTTGAATTAAACTGAATTGTATTCACTATTATACCAATTTAAATATTTAAATGTAAAATCTGTTAGTCATAGGTAAGTATAAGATTATTAGCAATAAATTGCTAGAATTGAATATTATCAAGCTTTTAAATATCTGGAAGCATATTATTGCTTTTGCTAAACTAATACTAATAGTAAAATAAAACTGAGTCTTATAAAGCAATAATTAAAGTATCGAATGCTTAATTATATTGCATGTCTACTATTCTAGAACCACTTATATCTAACTCAAATTTAAAATAACTTTTAGCGTACCTAAAAATTGTGTTATTATATTTGTTGAAAATTAGATAGTCAGTCTGTAAGCTATTTATTAATATTTTGGAAAATAAATTATATGGTTCATTTAGCTGAGGGTCATAAGGCTATCCTAATATACTGATATCAAATGTGTAAAGAGAGTTATAATAAGTAAAAATGTCATTAGTAATATTGTTAAAATAAAAATACATAAGTCTAAATTTTGGATCATTGAACTCGTTTATTGTGATATAATTTTGAAAAGGATAATTTTTATCTAATGAAGATAAATAAAAATTTCCTAAACGATCCATATACATTAAGCAGCTGCTTAAGCTATAATCAAATTAAAAGTCTGTAATATCAATCAATTAACCTTATTAAGTTGTAGAAGAAAAACTGTTTATTATTTATTTTGTAGAGACATCCATTACAGAGATCTTGTTAGTTGAAAGTGTTGTTTAAAATAGTAAATAATTTAAAAAGTCAATATAAATATATTTTAAGCATGAGGAATCATCTTCAGGAACACCCAACTCTGTTAAAACAAGACTAAGCCTGTCAATTAAAAGTAGTTCTATAAAATTTAATAATTAAATTAGTATACAATGTAAATAAGTTAAAAATTAAAATTTAATCAAAAATAAGTCAAATTTTTTAATTTATTTATTAATCGAAAAATAATTTATAAAAAAATAATTAAAATTAGTTAGTTAAAGATAAAATGAGATATATTTATTTTTTACTTTTTTAAGATTCACAAATCATCATAGATGGTTAAAATAAGCATTTTTCAATTTATTTTTATACTGCCTGTTTATATTAACCTTAAAAGCTGTAGATTTACAAATTAACTTGTCGTATAAATATATTTTAATATTATGTATCAACATCCATATAAATCATTTTCTACACTTAACCAAGGTAAACTTTTTAAAAATTTTTTAAGGTTTTATGGAATATAAATATTTCATACTCATTGATATTAGCTTAACGTTAGTATTATTATAAACATATTAAATAATCTTGAGATGTTTGACATTATTAGTATGATGTTTATTAGTATTTTTAATCTTAGATCGTATAAACTAGTTAGAGATGTAGATTAAGTATTAAAATGCTATCCCCATAAGCATATATTAATTGATCATTTTCATCATAAATAAATCCGTTTAAAAAAATTTTATTTTAAAAAGTAAGGACTGCATTATTTTATGATAAATCTATAAGGATTAGATTATCATATAATTCATTATTAATATAAACTCTTTTCTTAGATACAATAACTGTGTTTTATTTTATAAAAATATTCTAATTGCCTTTTGTATTTGGTAATTATACTACTTTATTAGTGTACATATCAAAATATGATAAATCTTTACTAGACTCCATTTTTAAAATTATACCTAGCTATTAAATTTGAATAATTTATGAAATATAATTTTATCCAATTTAAATTAATTGAGTAAATTTAGATTTTGGAGATAAAGAAGCAAGCAATAAACCAGTAGAGTCTCCAGAAAAGTAATTAAATGTAAAATTTAAAGACTTTCTTATGTTTTTTTTAAAAAAAGGATATTTAGAAACATTTTTCATCTAGTCTATACGAGTAATGTTTGTTAAATTTCTCTACATATTAATATTGTATTCATAAATTTTATTATCACTAAAGAATTTTATAGAGTAAAAAGTATTCTATCCATTTATTTTTTATTCTGCTTCATATATTTGAGATTCCTACCTATATTGAAAATCCAGTTTGGTGAAAATTTAATTATTATTTTAGATATTAAGCAATAGAAACTCATTTTATCCTATTAGAACATAAGTTTTATCATCATTTGAAACTCTATTAGTATATAGTATATATTATATTAAAAGCTAATTTGACTAGTAAATTAGTGATAATTTTAAATCATAAATCTTTAAATTGTTGAAGTTTTCCACAATAATAATTTAATCTATAAAGTAGTTATTAACCAATTCATCTTACAAAGAAGAAAATTTTTAAATTATTTTAAATGAATAACAATTAGAATCGCTTAATGAATTTATCTTTTAAATAGATTGGTTTGTTAAATCTATTTAATAAACAGTAATATTTAACTATTTATTGAAGTTGTATGTCATCAAAACCCTTAGATCATTGTTTAAATATATAGCATTTTAAGAATTTAAATTTGAAAAATCAGAATTACAATTCTCATATAATACTACCAAATCTTATGAATAGACTCTGAAACATCCATTGACAACAATTATGAGCTTATCACTATTAGTTGTATATTAAACAGAAGAAGACCCAATATACTATAAAATTTGTTATTTAAAAATGTCTAAAATCCATAAACCCTTATAACTGTAAGCGATTATTTTATTATTGAAAAATTTGGTTAATTATTCTATTGGATAAAGATAAAATGATTTTATAAATTTACAATTTATTCCATCTGAACAATCATAAAAATTAATTGAATTGAAATTATTAATTTGAACTAATATTGATGGATAATAAAATAGATCAATTATTTTATATTTTGTATATGAATATGGATCATTATAGGATAAAATTGGAGATGGTGAAGGAAAACTTGAATTAAATTATGTAATTGTTTAAATTTATATCATTTGCTATTACTGTAATTAGAGAGAACCTTTTTTAATAATCTAAATAGAATCAAGATTTGTACTTATTATCTCATTAATAAATTCTTTGTCACTTTTTGATTGTTATTTGATGCTATAGAAATTTTAGGGATAGTAATTCAATTAAATTTTTTAGTTAGTTTAAATAAATTTTTACAAATTTTTGTCAAACTAAAAAATTTGTAAATCTTGATTTTCGTAAAGTACAATTAATTAATTTACATTATCCAATAAGTTACATATCTCAAAATCTTTAATTTAAGGATTATTTTATATAATGAAATTTGATGAATTAGTTTTTATATTATTAAAAATCACCTAACTATTTGTACTGATAATCAAAAGCTCAGTTTAATCAATATCTGAAAGATAATATATTCTAGTTTTTTTAATTGTTTGATTATCCATCACTCCAATTTAAATTGGCTGAACTTATTTATTATTTAGATTTATTAATAATATTGATTGGTCTAAACATGCTATGTAAATTCCTTGCAAAGATTATTAGAGAATATTAAAATAGTTATTATTTTATTAAATTTAAAACTGATAACTTATTTCGTTGCTCAAATTCAAATTATTATTATTAACTGAAACAATAATCTAATAAATCGAAACAGCAGTTTGAGTTTGAACAAATAAAAACTAATCAATTAGCATAATTGATTTTGCATCTATATTTATATTACAATAATTCTTTGATAACAAAAAAATTGACCTAATTTAGTCATAGAATACCTAAAATGAGATATTTTCAGATAAAATATTGTAAACTAGAAGATATTAGTTCTGCATAGAAATAATTTTAGTATTAGGGTAAAAGGAAATAATAGATGATTTATCGAATTATGATATGATTCGCGACTCTTTTATAATGTCCCAAATAGATATAGTATGATCAATGCTTATCACAAATACGATACCATTTACATTAAATAAGTTAATGTCATCTTTTTAAAATTGCAAATTTTTGATAAAATAAAGTTCATTTTTATCATAGACAGATAGAAAACTTGATTGAGCCACATAATAATCATTTTGATAAACAAAAAAATCTGTGATTGTAGTTTATATGTTTTTATTTTTATAGGAATCTATTGAAGATGAGCATTTTAATTAGCTTTTGCACAGGTTAGTCTACTTATTTATCCAGCTGAGAGGGCTACAAATAGCAACACAATTATTATTTTAGCTTTAAGTGCCACTATTTAAATTCTTATCATAATATAAATTATTGTCGCATTTATTATAAACACATAGGTTTTCTTTGGTATTTAATTCATAACCTTCATAGCATTCAGTGCATTGATTTTTACCATTATTTGTATTATTTTATATAGAACATCCATCCACTGATGTTTCATACCCTTAAGCATGCAATTAAATTGATAAAATCAACATGCAAATCTATACAGTTACTGATCTAATTATCATGAAACTAAAATTGAAAATGATCTTTTTAGGTTTATAGGGAAAACTTGATTATTTTTAAATATCTATCTTACTTTTAATTATGATTTATATATATATTAATTATATTAATTTGTTTTAAATTATAATTATTATTTTTATTATTGATGCACTTTTAAATGATATCTCTTTACATCTAAATTATTATTTATTTCATCTTCTTTTTGATCAAAATCCCCAGTCTGATTTGATTTTGATGTTGTTCTATTTTGTTTGATAAAATATAGAAAATAAAGTGAATGGCAAATTAAAAAATTGTTTAAAATCCACTTAAATTAATGTGAAAAAAATTGGTATGTTACTTATTAAAATTTGTATTTTTAGTTAATTAAATAAATACTGTTATTTTTAATGGTTTTTTTTAAAATAATTACATACAGGATATGCGTTTAAAAAAACAAGCATTTAAAGTATATAAATAAAACGTATCATTTGTTGGATTTTTTGGGATGGGAGTTGGATGTTTTTAATTATATGATTGAGTGAGGATTATATCCTATTCATAAAAATATAAAAAATTTTAAATATTAAATATTTTTTGTGTATATTTCTTTAGAATTTATTTAATATTTTATACTTCGTTAATAACTAATGTAAAATAAATTTATTTTTTCGACTTAAGAGCAGCTTTTAGAATTTTCACCAAATTAAATATATGTATCTTATTTACTTTAGTTACTTTAACCTATTTTTCTCTACAAAATAACTTCTAGCTTTTGAAATTTTTTTGAATACAAAATACAAATGTAAATCACTAATCTTGTTTTAATATTATGAGTTGCCGTTTACTGTCTGTAATAAGGAAATAAATGATCCTCTTTTTTACTATACCTTAAATCTTTATTTTAAAATTATTTTACTAAATTTAAGAACAAATGTTAATGCTTTAAAGGTTAGATAATGTAGTTTTCCTATTTCTTTTAGCAACTCTAAATATCTAAATGGTAAAGGTAAAGACTACTTTTTCAAGAATAAAAAAGAAAATAAATAAGTTTTGATTTGTGTAATTGAATCTTATCTCCGAAAACAAAAAATATATTTGACTGTTCAGTTTTTATATTTATAGGCTGCATGTGTTTTTAATAAAGCTTTTTCTTCTTTTCTTGTGTCTTAAACATCATTAATAATTTTTTAATTAATTAATGTTCTTAATTTACAATTAAAATACGATGCATTATTAATTTTTCTAATTTCAAGCTTCAAAGAAAAAATTGTCTATTTTCCTCAGTTATTTGCATCCTTCTACCAATACCATTAAATAATAAATATTTTTCTATCTAATTTAATTCATTATTTTTCACTGTTAGGTAATATTTTATTTCAGTATATTAAATGTGAATATCAATCACCAAATAATTTTTTTAAAGAAGAATCTAATAATAAATAATTAACAAATTTATGAATAACTACGATGCAATTTTACTCTTAGATACTTAATTTATTGATCTTTAATCCATTTTTTAAGTTAGATAAATTTTAGTGCTACTATCAATTAAAATTAAATTTTTGTTACACATTTTGTCGAAGTTTATTTGCATCAAACAAATTTTTAGCTTTTTAGTATATATAGCCAAACAATTTCATAAAAAATATGAGGATAAGGGTATATCTATCTAAAATTAAATAATAAAAAGTAATTAAGAAGTAAGAAATAACTTTTTTTAAATAATTTTTATACATTAGAAATATACTTGCAGCGTAAATAATATATATTTGAATCTTTATATATATTATTCTTAACTAAAAACAATCAAGATAAAATATTATTAGCATTAAAGCATAATAATTAAAGTAAGTAAAATCAATTTGATTATTTAATTGATATAATTTGTTTATCCATCAGTCTATCTATCTACATTTTAATCTATTTTTTTAGAGCTTATTTTTTTGATTTTATTATATAATTTATCTAAATCAAATCAATTATTTTTTACTTTTTAACTTTCTAAAAGTTAAAATAAATATTAACATATTAATCTATTTTGAATTTAATAATTTGGCTTATATTTTATTTTAGTAGAAATAATTATTAATTTTAAAAGAGGTATAAAATATTCTTCAATAAAATTTAGTTAATATATAAATAAATCAGTTTAAATTATAGAATATAACTTATCCTTAAATATTAATTTATTATAAATGATATTTTTAATTACAGTTTTATATTATTAATTATTGTTTATTAGTATTCATACCTTTTTTAAAAAATGATAAATTAAATAAGTTGTCTTACTTTTTTATTTATTTATTTATGCTCATCGATTAGAATAATTAAGCTGAATTTAAATATTTGTTTTATTTTATTCAAAATTGAATAAATTTAAAAACCAATTTTTTTATAGACTGAATTTAATAATAAATAACAAGACAAATTCCTATTTATTTTGTAATGTAATGTTTTTACAAAGAAACAGGCTTGAATATATAAAAATAAAAAAATATTTTTAATACAAAAGTTAAATAAAATAAATTTATTATAAAAAGTAAATAAAAAACATAATAAAATAAATTTATTCTTTCAAATAAAAAAGGTTGTCGACACTGGGACTTCCCAAGCGGTCCCCCACCTTAGTACTAACCCAGCCTTAAGGCGCTTAACTTCGGAGTTCGAATGGGATCCGGTGTTTTCACCTTAGTATGGCCGACAACAAAATTAATAGGAATAAAAAACTATTTATAACAATAACTAATTTTATCAATTAATAATCTACAATTTACTTAAATAAATTAAAATTAATTAGTAAAAATGATACTTCTTAAATGGTTAAAATTAAGTTAATTAAAATAAAAAGGTTGTCGACACTGGGACTTCCCAAGCGGTCCCCCACCTTAGTACTAACCCAGCCTTAAGGCGCTTAACTTCGGAGTTCGAATGGGATCCGGTGTTTTCACCTTAGTATGGCCGACAACAAAATTATTATCAATAAATAACTATTTATAACAATAACATTCAATTTGCTTTTTCACTAAATAATCTACAATTTACTCAAACAAATTAATATTAGAAAAAATAATATTTCTTAAATTATTAAAAATTATTTTAATTAAAATAAAAAGGTTGTCGACACTGGGACTTCCCAAGCGGTCCCCCACCTTAGTACTAACCCAGCCTTAAGGCGCTTAACTTCGGAGTTCGAATGGGATCCGGTGTTTTCACCTTAGTATGGCCGACAACAAAATTAATATCTATAAATAACTATTTATAACAATAACTTTTAATTTGTTTTATCACTTAATAATCTACAATTTACTTAAATAAATTTATTTGGTAAAAATAATATTCTTAAATGGTAAAAAATTATGTTAATTAAAATAAAAAGGTTGTCGACACTGGGACTTCCCAAGCGGTCCCCCACCTTAGTACTAACCCAGCCTTAAGGCGCTTAACTTCGGAGTTCGAATGGGATCCGGTGTTTTCACCTTAGTATGGCCGACAACAAAATTATTATCAATAAATAACTATTTATAACAATAACATTCAATTTGCTTTTTTACTAAATAATCTACAATTTACTCAAACAAATTAATATTAGAAAAAATAATATTTCTTAAATTATTAAAAATTATTTTAATTAAAATAAAAAGGTTGTCGACACTGGGACTTCCCAAGCGGTCCCCCACCTTAGTACTAACCCAGCCTTAAGGCGCTTAACTTCGGAGTTCGAATGGGATCCGGTGTTTTCACCTTAGTATGGCCGACAACAAAACTAATTGCAATAAATAACTATTTATACTAAATATATTTTTATAAAATCACTTTATTTTATTTTAAAATATATTCTATTAATCAAAATTAAAAAGATAATTATTTTTTAAAATGATAAAATAAATTTACTTTAAAAAAATAAATTTTGGATTTTAATTGCCAATTATTTTTAAAGATTAAAATGGTAAAAAATATTATGTATTTATTTTGATAAATACTTTAAATTTTAATTTTTCTAACATTAAAGTTGTATTTTTTTAAAAATTGAAAATCTTTTATAATATTAAAGTAAATTAATTTATATATTTTAGAAGTTCCAGCCTTGATCTAATTTTCTGATATATTTTAACTTAGACCATAGTGATATAAAAATTATTTTATAGAAAAATAAAAAAAATAAATAAAATTAGTTCAATTAACAGTTGAAAGTTACTCTTATTGATTTTTTGATTTAAAATTATATTATTTTAAAGTAAAGCTTTGTACAAATATTTAATAACATATAATATATATATATAATATGAGTAGTCAAATTTATTTGTTAAAAAACATAAAATTATTCAAATAAATTATTCAGTAGAACCAATGTCTATACATTTTTAATGTGGCTTTTTAAAAAAAAATATTAATTATAATTAAAAAAAATATAAATAAATTACGCTTAAAGAATTAACTTTAGAATAAGTATTTTAAGTAGTCTAATTACTCTAGAGAATCAAATGATTATTTTTGGCTTAAAGTATCTACTTGTTTTTGATATTCTAAAGATTCTACAGGTTTTTTATATTTTAAATAGTCTGCTTTTTCTTTAATTTTTATTGGTATTTTAAGCTTTATCTAAACATCTTGTAGACTAATTTCCATTTCATGTATGCTTTAAATGATACATGCTTAAAGTTAACAAGTTTATTTAATGATTTTAAAGAAATAATTTTTAATAATTGCTCTTTTACATAAATCATTAATTTAGACTTTGAGCTGCTTAACATTATTCCAATTACTATTAGCAAGAAACAAAAAAAGAAAAAATAATCGATAAATATTTGAGATATTTCTATCAATCTTTAGGTTTAAGGATTTTAATTTTATATTGCTAATAGAAAAATCTTCAATATAATAAGTATATATGATGCTATCTCACACTTTTATATGCTAAATGAAATAAAAGGATTATTCTAGGATATAATTTTTAAATAGAAGCATATTAGTATTGTTATTGCTAGGATGGCTATATATTGGTTATTTCTAGATAATAAAGTATACAAATAAATGATAGCAATCTTTAAATAAATTCTAACGAATTCCCAATAGTAATACTTATCTTTTAATTCACCATAGTAATAACCATATTTATATTTTATTATACATTAATCTAATTTTTTCCTATTTTTTTTAATTTACTTTAGAAGCACTAATGGGAAAAGAGTCCAAAAACTTAACACTGATAAAGAGAAAGGATAGAGATATTTAACAACACTAGCTTCGTAACATTATATTGTTAAATCAATAGGATTATAAAGCTGGCTTCCTATTTCTCTACAAGTAAGTGATTTTGAAAAATAGGATATCTAACTCATTTAAAAGTAAATAAAAATTATATGAAACAGCAAATAAAAATGGTATTTTCTTAATCTCACTTTTCCAATATATTCATAAAACTTAAGGGTCAAAGGAATAAAAAATAGTGCTATTATAGGTACCAAAAATTAAATTAAGGTATAAAATAGTATTTTATTTAGCTTTTGAATAATACCTTCACTAATAAGACAATCAATTCCCAATTAAATTTATCTATCACCAGATCCAAATATCTCGTTCAAGAAATTAAAATTAATTGAAATAATTTTTGGTTGTTAAATTAGAATAGAAGATATTTGATAATAGTTTAGAATTATTTTTATGTAAAATCCAGAATAGTCTGATATACTGTTACTGCTAATTGGAATTATTTTTAATTTTCTCAAATAATAACATGTTTAAGTATACTTAAATTTTTGAACAAAAATATTTAAAACGTTCAAGAAGTATGCTTCAAACAATATTATTTTTAAAACCAAATAAACCCATTAATTGAGTTTAGGACCGCATATTTAACAAACTCCTTAGGAAATAGATTCTGAGTAACGTGAACCTTTCCAAATTTCACCTAAAATATCGCATTGCCCACAAATAGGACCCAAGTAGCCAGTTGAGCAATAATTAATACTAAGAGGATTTTGTGCTTAACACGAGTTTAAAATAGGATCACACTCTATAATTTCATCTGTAAAATTACTTTTTCTCCAGAATCCATTTTTTAAAGATATCTTATTTCCTTCACACTTAATAGCTGATTCAGGACAATTTATACATCTATTTATATCGCTTCTTCCTTTTATAGACTACTTATAAAGTTAAAGAGGGTCATTTATCTGATAAGTGCCTTCCAAGCATTAATTACATTAATAAATTTAATCATTTATATATTAAATAACCTCACCTGTTATGCAATTTCTAAAACCAATTGATAATAGTATTGGTTATTTAACAGCAGAATTTGTATATATTGTCGAATTAACAGAAAATAATAATTCATTACCAGATCCAATTATTTGCAAATCACTAAACTCAAAAGCTAAACTTTAAGAATTATACTAGTAATAATTTATGATTTGTTGTCCATTAATTAAGCTTTAATTGGATTAAAGACCATAAATTGAAACTTAAATTCTTTTTAGCTCAGATTCTATTTCGATAGGATACTCATTATTTACCAACATCTCTTTTGAGAAACTCAGAAACCTATTCTAGCTATCAACTATATATATTTTAAAGTATATAAATCCACCACTTCGAAATTCTTTAATTTCAGCTAATCTAGAAAAACTTTTTTGCAGCTCAAAGGGTAGTATATACATTTAATTTAAATAAAATGTGAAAAAATAGGTATTTTTTTTATTATTGTCTGAAATTATAATATTTTATAGATATGATGTGCTATCATTTCCATATATATCTGCTAAATTTTAATACACATTATGTATGAAAGGAAAGCCAAAAGGTAACTGAATCTGACTTTCATCAGTCTAAACAATCCTTAATCCACCCCCAATTAAAGCTCTATTATTTTTGATTTTTGTATCAGAATCAAATATTACTTTGCATGATGGTATGTTTTCAAAATACAAAGCTCCACCACTACTTAAGGCAGTATTTTATTCAAATTAGCAGGTTTTAAAATTTATTATTTATTGAATAGCCTTAAAATATATAGCTCCTCCATTTTATGCTTTATTACCACTAAAATAGCTATTAATAACAGTCACATTCTAAGATTTCATAATTAAAAATGAACCTTCATTTTGAACATAAGTTAATTTATTTAAATAAACAAAAGAGCTTTAAATAAACAAAATTGATTTTGCAGGAAATATATTTTGCTCTATTTTAACATCTATGAAAACTAAAACATCATTCTCTAAAACAGTTGTTTGATTTTCATTAGTGTATGAATTTTAGGTATAGAATAAATGTAATTAATTATTTTTTTAAAATGAGCAATAAATTAGATTTATTATTTAGCACTTAGAAAAGGAGAATATTCCATAGTCTTACTATGCTAATACTATTTGATTAATATTATTTTTAATTGATAAATTTAAAAGAGTTACATTATAAATGTTTAAAAAACCCATCAAGCTATTTAAATTTGTGTTTTGTACTACAGTTAATTCAGATATTTAAATGCTATTTACTGAATCAAATTAAAATATTGGTATCTCGTTTATCTGATTAAAATTATTACTCAATATTTCTAGGTTGTAAATTAAAATTTATGATATATTATTAAAAAAGAATAAAGAGCTTGCTTAGTTGAGGTTACCTGAGCATTCTCTAAGGTCTTACTAAGATATTTTAATATTTTAAAATATAATTTTTTGAACATCTGAAAAGATTATTTTATTACTGCTAAAGCATTAAAAGTTTATTGTAATATTCTAAAAAATAATTTGTTGGGTATTTGAATTCTAATTAATATTAATATTTAAATTTGTATTGTCTTAGAAATCTAAATTAAAGTTAGCAAGCTAAAAGATTGGTAGGTTTAGGTTTGAAAAGATATCATTTGATAGAGGTACAACACTATTCTAAATGTTATATGAAGAAACCACAAATTATCTATTTTAATATTAAGAAATGTATTAGATTGTTTTTTATAGGTCATCACTTGTAACTTATAAATAGACATAGCTTTAATAATTTTGTTAATCTATTAAAAAGATTCCATTTATTGACTAAGATTATATTTATTTTGGATAAACAGAATTTAAACTTTGCTGAACTTATGCTATTTATGAATTTGATATTAAAAGAGTGCATTCCTAGATTTAATCTTAAGAAAAAGTATCTAAATTATAGTTATTTTCAAAAATTCCGTTTTAATGCATACCTATTATTTTTACTGAATTACTTGAAGAATCGAAATGATAATCTAAAATTTTAGGATAAGAATAGTTCTGCTAGGAAACCAAGTTGAAATTTTCTCCTTGAATTAAGAATAGTTCAAATTTATCTATGAAAAAAATTGCTATAACCTTGTCTGAAACAAAATAATAGTCTATTATTTTATCTTTAATAAAATTTTTCTTAATAACAGTAAAAAACCGGATGGAAGTGTCAAGATAAAATATATTTATTTAGAAAGCACAAGAAATAAGAATATAATTTTGTTCTATTTTTAACTTCTTAACTTGGATCGAGGGTAAAAATAGATATTATTCTCGCAATTATTATGAGTAATTCCACACATATGCTTTTTTCTGTCCTAAGAAGCAAAAAATATATCTTTTATAAGTCTCGTCAACTAAAAATTATACTATGGTAGCATTAGTATCTTCATTGACTAGATTTTTTAAATCTATTTATTAAATTTATTATTTATTAGAGGTATTTATTTAGATAATTGTTCCATCACTCGAAACAGCATAAGCTACTTACTCAGTTTCTATAAACTAAATGATTATTATAGAAGAGCTAAGAGGGCTTTTAAAAGATGCCCAAAATACAAATTATTATTTGTCAACAAGGTTATATAGTAGAACTTATTTATCACTAAATCCTACTAAGAGTAAGTCTTGTTTCTTATTTAAACTATAAGAAGTTACTAGTTAGGTTGAATTAAACTGAACTGTATTCGCTATTATACCATTTTAAATATTTAAATGTAAAATCTGTTAGTCATAGGTAAGTATAAGATTATCAGCAATAAATTGCTAGAAATGAATATTATCAAGCTTGTATATATTTGGAAGCATATTATTGAATTTGCTAAACTAATACTACTAATAAAATAAAATCGAGTCTTCTAAAGCAATAACTAAAATATCTAATTCTTGATTATATAGCATGTCTACCATTCGAGAACCACTTATATCTAACTCAAATTTTAAATAACTTTTAGTGTACCTAAAAATTGTGTTATTATACTTGTTGAAAATTAAGTAGTCAACCTGTAAGTTATTAATAAATATTTTGGAAAATAAATTATATGGTTCATTTAGCTGAGGATCATAAGGTTATCCTAATATGCTGAGATCAAATGAGTAAAGGGAATTATAATAAATAAAAATATCATTTGTAATATTATTATAATAAAAATTCTAAAGTTTAATTTTTGGATCATTGAACTCATTTATTGTGATATAATTTTGAAAAGAATAATTTTTATCTAATGAAGATAAATAAAAATTTCCTAAACGATCCATATACATTAGGCAGCTGCTTAAGCTATAATCAAATTAGAAGTCTGTAATATCAATTAATTAACCTTATTAAGGTGTAGAAGAAAAACTGTTTATTATTTATTTAGTAGAGACATCTAATACAGAAATCTTGTAAGGTGAACTTGATGTTTAAAATAATAAATAATTTAAAAAGTCAATATAAATATATTTTAAGTTTGAGGAATCATCTTATGGAACACCCAGCTCTGTTAAAGTAAGACTAAGCCTGTCAATTAGAAGTAATTCTATAAATTTTAAAATTAAAATTAGTATTAAATGTAGACAAACTAGTTACAAATTAAAATTTAATCAAAAAAAGATGAAAATTTAAAAATTTATTTAATAATATTTTTGATTATTTTAGTAATTAATTTTTTTTTAAAAATAATAATAGGATTGATTTAGGATTTTTTCAAGTTTAATTTATTTTTTAAATAAACTTGGAAGCATATTGATTTTATTTAGGTAAGAAATACTTGCTCTAAAATTTCCAACTCTTAATTTTTAATAATCTCTGAATGTTCTTTAATTAAATTTAAATCTTTGAAAAATTAAATATAAATATAGTTTAATATAGAAATAAGTCTAAATACATCAATAATTGGTTACCATTCTTAGGAATTCAAATTATTATTATCTTTTAAAAAGCGTAAAGGTAATTATTAAAAATTTTTCAAAAAAAATCTCAAAATTTTTAAAATTTAAAAATTAGCTAAAATTTTAATAATTCTTTTGCACACTTAAATTGAGGATTTTCAGTGTCCATTTATTGAATAATTGAAAAATAAATTATTAATTAAAGATAAATTGAAATATATTAATTTTTTACTTTTTTAAGATTCACAAATCATCACAGATGACTAAAATATGCAGTTATCAATTTATTTTTCTAGTGTCATTTTCTAGTATCCTTAAAAGTTGTAGATTTAAAAATTATCTTGTAGAATAAATATATTTTAAAATTATGCATCTACCATCATATTTATTTTGTCCGCTTAACCAAGGTAAACTTTTTAAAAATCTTTTAAGGCTTTATGAAATATAAGTATTTCATACTCATATTAAATATTAGATTATTGCTAGTACATTTATAAGCATATTAAATAATCTTAAGAGGTTTGGCATGGTTAGTATGATAGATTTTTATATTTTTAATCTTAGATTGTATAGACTAGTTAAAGCTTTAGATTGAGTATTAAAATGCTATACCCATAAGCGTATATTAGATTATCGCTTTCATCATAAATAAATCCTAATAAAAAAATAGTATTTTAAAAAGTAAGAACTGGATTTTTTTATGATAAATCTGTTAGAATTAAATTATTATATTATTAATTGTTAATATACGTTCTTATCCTAGAAATAATAACTGTATTTTATTTTATAAGAATATTCTAAGTACTTTATGAGTTAGGTAGTTATACTTCTTTATTAGTGAACATATCAATACAGGAAAAATCTTTATTCAATGGAATATTTAAAATTATTCCTAACTATTAAATTTGAATAACTTTTGTAATAAAATATTTTCCAATTTAAATTATTTAAGTTAATCTTGATTTTGGAGATAAAGAAGCAAGCAATAAATTGGTAGAGTCTCCAGCAAAGTAATTAAATGTAAAGTTTAAAGACTTTCTTATGTTTTTAAACAAAAAAGGATATTTAGAGATGTCTTTTATTTAATCTATGCGAGTAGTGTTTGTTAAATTTCTTAACATGTTTATATTGTATTCATACATTTTATTATCACTAAGGAATTTTATAGAATAAAAATTATTCTATCCATTTGTTATTTATTCTGCTTCCAATATTTGAGATTCGTACGAAATTGTAAAATCCAATTTGGTTAAAATTTAATTATTATTTTAGATATTAAATAAAAGAAACTCATTTGTTCCTATAAAAATATAAATTGTATCATCATTCAAAACTCTCCTATTAAATAGTATATATTATATTTAAAGCTAATTTGTTTAATAAATTAGTGACAAGTTCAAATCATAAATGTTTAAATTGTTGTTGTTATCCACAATTATTATTTAATCTATAAAGAAGTTATTAACCAATTCATCTTACAAAGAAGAAAATTTTGTCATTATTTTAAAGGAATAACAATTAGAATTATTTAATGAATTTATCTTTTAAATAGATTATTTTGTTAAGTCTATTTAATACAAAGTAATATTTAACTGTTTATCGAAATTATATGTCATCAAAACCCTTAAATCATTATTTAAATATATAGTTTTAAAAGTACTTATATTTGAAAAATCAGAATTACAATTCTCATATAAAACTACCAACTCTTATGAATAGACTCTTAAACATCCATTGGTAGCCATTACGAGCTTATCATTATTAGTTGCATATTAAACAAATGAAGATCCAATAAATTATAAAATTTTTTATTTAAAGATGTCAATAATTTAAAAATTGGCATAGCTGTAAGCGATTATTTTATTGTTGAAAAATTTGGTTAATTATTCTATCGGGTAAAGTTATAATGATTTTTTAAATTTACAATTAATTCCATCTGAGCAATCATAAAAATTAATTGAATTGAAACCATTTATTTGAATTAATATTGAAGGATAATAAAATAAATCAATTGTTTTATAACTTGAGTATGGACTATTTTACGATAAAACTGGAGATGGTGTAGGAAAGCTTGAATGAAATTATGTAATTACTTAAATTTATATCAATTACTTTTACTGTAATTAGAGAGTATTCCTTTTAATAATCTAAATTGAATCAAGATTTGTACATATTATTTCATTTATAAATTCTATACCATTTGTTGTTATATGCAGGTATTTAATGCTAAAGAAATTTTAGGGGTAGTAATTCAAAGAAATTTTTTAATTAATTTGATTAAATTTTTACAAATTTGTGTCAAACTAAAAAATTTGTAAATCTTGATTTTCGTAAAGTACAATTAATTAATTTACTTTATCCAGTAAGTTACAGATCTCAAAATCTTTAATTTAAGGATTATTTTATATTATTAAATTTGATGAGTTAGTTTTTGTATTATAAAAAATCATCTAACTATTTGTACTGATAATCAAAAGCTCAGTTTAATCACTATCTGAAAGATAAAATATTTTAGTTTTTTTAATTGTTTAATTATCAATCACTCTAATTTAAATTTGTTGAACTTATTTATTATTTAGATTTATTAATAATATTGATTGGTCAAAACTACCTATGTACATTCCTTGCAAAGATTATGAGAGAATATTAAAATAGTTATTATTTTACTAAATTTAAAACTGAAAAATTATTTCATTGCTCAAATTCAAGTTGTTATTATCATTAACAGAAACAATAATCTAATAAACAGAAACAGCAGTTTGGGATTGAACAAATAAAAACTAATCAATAAACACAATTGACTATGCATTTATATTTATAGTACAATAATTCTTTGATAAAGAAAAAATTGACCTAATTTAGTCATAAAATATCTAAAATGAGATACTTTTAGATAAGACATTGTAAACTAGAAGATATTAGTTCTGCATAGAAATAATTTTAGTTTTAGGGTTAAAGGAAATCATAGATGATTTATCGAATTAAGATTTGACTCGTGATTCTCTTATGATGTCCCAAATAGATACAGTATTATCGATGCTTATTACAAATATGATACCATTTACATTAAATAAATTAATGTCATCTTTTTAAAATTGCAAATTTTTGATAAAATAAAGTTCATTTTTATCATAGACTGATAAAAAACTTGATTGAGCCACGTAATAATCATTTTGATAAATAAAAAAATTTGTGACTTTAGTTTATTTATATCTATTTTAATAAGAATCTATTGAAGATGAGCATTTTAATTAGCTTTTACATATGTTAGTCTACTTATTTATCCAGCTGGGAGGACTACAAATAGCAACACAATTATTATTTTAGCTTTAAGTATCACTATTTAAATTCTTATCATAATATAAATTATTGCCACATTTAGAATAAACACATAGATTTTCTTTGGTATTTAATTCATAGCCTTCATAGCATTCAGTGCATTAATTTTAATTATTATCAATAGTTGCATTATTTTATCTAGAACATCCATCCACAGATATTTCATACGCTTAAGCATGGTATTGAATTGATAAAATTAAAGTATAAATATTGATAATAGCTGATCTAATTATCATGAACAAAAATTGGAAATGAGGTTTTTGGTTTAAAGGGAAAATATGATTATTTATTTTTAAATGTCTATCTTACTTTTAATTTGATATTTTATTAGATTTATTTGTTAAAAAATAATTATTATATTTTTAATTAAAATTGATACACATTTAAATGACATCTCTGTACAGATAAATTATTAATTATTTCATCTTTTTTGATTGAATTACCCAGTCTTTTTTGATTTTTATGCTTTTCAATTTTATTTCATACAAAATCGAAATTAAAGTGAATGTGAAATTAAAAATTAAATTCCTCTTAAATTAATCTGAAAACAGAGCATATGTTACTAATTATTATTTATATTTTTTGTCAATTAAATAAATAAATACTTTCATATATTAAAAATTTTTTCAAATTTACTTATATACATAATAGGCATCTAAAAAGCTAGTGTTTAAAATAAATAAAGCGTATGATTTATTAGATTTTATTTAATATGATTTTTTTAATTATGTAAATGAATGTGGATTATATAATAACCTATTAAAAAAATTTATAAAAATTATAAAATAATGTAGTTCCTCATATAAAAAGACCCATCTAACCCATTTTTGACCCTTGTTCCATAGGCCTTTTAAAATTTGCAAAAAATTGGCCTTAAATAAAAAAGTCTTAATATATGAGGATTTACTGTATTATATATTTATTGAGTAAAATTCATTAGAATTGAATTTAATATTTTATTGCTATTTAATCATTGATTTAAATCAATTTATCTTTAAGACTTTGAGCAGCTTTTAGAGTTCTCACCTAAATAAATAGACGAATCTTATTTACTTTAATTATTTTAATCTTTTTTTCTCTTCATTAACTTTTTACTTTTCAAATTTGTTTGAATTTAAAATTCAAGCGTAATCCACTAATTTTCTTTTAATATTATGAGCTGAGGTTAACTGCTAGTAATAAGGAAATAGTCCTTTTTTTACAAAACCTTAAATTGTTATTTTAAAAATATTTTATTAAATTTAAGAAATTATGCTCGTGATTTAAAGGTCAGATAACTTAATTTTTAAATTTATTTTAGCAGCGCTAAATACTAGAGGCTAATTTTTTAAGAATAAAAAGAAAATAAATAAATTTTGATTTATGTAAATGAATCTTATTTCAGAAATCAAAAGAATATATTTGGCTGTTCAGTTTTTATATTTATAGGCTGTAGGTATTTTAAATTAAATTTTTCCTTCTTTTTCTCATGTTTTAAACACCAATGATTACCATGTAATTATGTAATGCTCTTAATTTATAATGACTATATGATGCGTTATGAATTTTTATAATTTCCAAATTTCAAAAGAAATAATCATCGCTTTTCCTAAATTACTTACATCCTTCAGCCAATACCAATAAATAAATAAATGTTCTTCTATCTAATTTAATTTATTTTTATTATTAAATGTAAGGTAATAAAATTATCTTTATTTCAGTATTTTAAATATGAATTTCTTTAATTAAGCACCTACTAAAAAATAATTTCTTAATTTATGAATAATTAGCATTGAGTAATACTTTAATATATCTAATTGACTGCTCTTAAATCCATTTTATAAGTAAAATAAATTTTAGTGTCACTATCAATTAAAATAAATTTTATTTATTAAGTAGAGTTATTTAAATATACTTTTTACATATTATCAAATAAAAAATTTTGTTGCCAAAATATACAGTTTGTATGAGTTAATTGCATCAAGCAATTTTCTTATTTTTTAGAATATATAGCCAATTTTTTAATCTAAAATTATATTATTTTAAAGTTAAGCTTTGTGCAAATATATAATGACATATAATTTATATAAAAAATATTAGTAGTCAAATTTTTTGTTAAAAAACATAAAATTATTCAAATAAATTATTCAGCAGAACCAATGTCTATACATCTTTAATGTGGCTTTTTTAAAAAAATATTAATTAAAATTAAAAAAAAATAAATAAATTACGCTTAAAGAATTAACCTTAGAATACATATTTTAAGTAGTCTAATTACTCTACAGAATCAAATTACTATTTTTAACTTAAAGAATCTACTTGTTTTGGATATTCTAAAGATTCTATAAATTTTAAATAATTTGCTTTTTCTTTAATTTTTAATGGTATTTCAAGCTTTTTCTAAACATCTTGTAGACTAATTTCCATTTTAGGTAAGCTTGAAAAGAAACATGCTTATTGTTAAGGAATTTATTTAATGATTTTATAGATATCATTTTTAGTAATTATTCTTTTACAAATACCATTAATTTAGACTTCGAACTGCTTAACATTATTCCTATTACTATTAGCAAGAAACAAAAAAAGAAAAAATAATCAATAAATATTTGAGATATTTCTATCAATCTTTAGGTTTATGGATTTTAACTTTATATTGCTAATAGAAAAGCCTTCAAAATAATAAGAGTATATGATGCTATCTCACATTTTTATATGCTAAATGAAATAAAAGGATTATTCTAAGATATTATTTTAATATAGTAGCCTATTAGTATAGTAATCCCTAGGATGGCTATATATTAGTTATTTCTAGATAATAAAGTATACAAATAAATGATAGCAATCTTTAAATAAATTCTAATGAATTCCCAATAGTAATACTTATCTTTTAATTCACCATAGTAATAGCCATATTTATATTTTATTATACACTAATCTAATTTTTTCCTGTTTTTTTTAATTTAATTTAGAAATACTAATGGGAAAAGAGTCCAAAAACTTAACACTGATAAAGAGAAAGGAAATAGATATTTAACTACACTAGCTTCGTAACATTCTATTGTTAAATCAATAGGATTATAAAGATGACTTCCTATTTCTCTACAAGTAAGTGATTTTGAAAAATAGGATATCTAACTCATTTAAAAGTAAATAAAAATTATATGAAAGAGCAAATAAAAGTGGTATTTTCTTAATCTTACTTTTACAATTTATTCATAAAACATAAGAGTCAAAGGAATAAAAACGAGTGCTATTATAGGTACCAAAAATTAAACTAAGGTATAAAATAATATTTTATTTAGTTTTTGAATAATACCTTCACTAACAAGACAATCCATTCCCAATTAAATTTATCTATCACCAGATCCAAATATCTCACTCAAGAAATTAAAATTAATTGAAATAACTTTTGGTTGTTAAATTAGTATAGACGATATTTGATAGTAGTTTAGAATTATTTTTATGTAAAATCCAGAATAGTCTTATATACTGTTACTGCTAATTGGAATTATTTTTAATTTTCTCAAATAATAACATGTTTAAGTATACTTAAATTTTTTAACAAAAATATTTAAAACATTCAAGAAGTATGCTTCAAACAATATTATTTTTAAAACCAAGTAAATCCATTAATTGAGCTTAGGACCACATATTTCGCACACCCCTTTGGAACTAGATTCTGAGTAACGTGAGCCTTTCCAAATTTCACCTAAAATATCACATTACCCACAAGTAGGTCCTAAGTAGCCAGTTGAGCAATAATTAATATTAAGAGGATTTTGTGCTTAACATGAGTTTACAATAGGATCACACTCTATTATTTCATCAGTTTAGTTGCTTTTTCTCCAGAATCCATTTTTTAAAGATATTTTATCTCCTACACACTTGATAGCAGATTCAGGACAATTTATACATCTATTTATATCATTTCTTCCTTTTATAGACTACTTATAAAGTTAGATTGGGTCATTTATCTGATAAGTGCCTTCCAAGCATTAATTACATTAATAAATTTAATCATTTATATATTAAATAACCTCACCTGTTATGCAATTTCTAAAACCAATTGATAAGAGTATTGGTTATTTAACAATAGAACTTGTATAAATCGTTGAATTAACAGAAAATAATAACTCATTACCAGATCCAATTATTTGCAAGTCACTAAACTCAAAAGCTAAACTTTAAGAATTATATTAGTAATAATTTATAATTTATTGTCCATTTATTAAGCTTTAATTGGATTTAAGACCATAAATTGAAACTTAAATACTTTTTAGTTCTGATTCTATTTCGATAGGATACTTACTATTTACCAGCCTCTCTTTTGAGAAACTCAAATACCTATTCTAGCTATCAACTATATAAACCTTAAAATATATGAATTCACCACTTCGAAATTCTTTAATTTCAGCAAATCTTGAAAAGCTTTACTCAAGCTCCTAGGGTAGAATATTTGTTTAATTTTCATAAAATGTGAAAAAATAGCTATTTTCTTTATTATTATTTGTAATTATAATATTTTATAGATATGATGCGCTATCGTTTCCATATATATCAGCTAAATTTTAATGCACATTATGTACGAAAGGAAAGCCATAAGGTAACTGAATCTGATTTTCGTCAGTCTAAACAATCCTTAAACCACCCCCAATTAAAGCTCTGTTATTTCTGATTTCTGTATCAGAGTCAAAGATTACTTTGCATGAAGGTATGTTTTCAAAGTACAAAGCTCCACCACTACTTAAGGCAGTATTTTATTCAAATTAGCAGGATTTAAAATTTATTGTCTATTGAATAGCATTAAAATTTATAGCTCCTCCATTTGGCGCTTTATTACCACTAAAGGAGCTATTATTAACAGTAACATTCTAAGATTTCATAATTAAAAATGATCCTTCATTTTGAACATAAGTTAATTTGTTAAAATAAACATACGAATTTTAAATAGACAAAATATTTTTTGTTGGAAATTTGTTTTCCTCTATTTTAACATCTTAGAAAATTAAAACATCATTTTCTAAAACAGTTGTTTGATTTTTATCAGTGTATGAATTTTAGGAATAAAATAGATTTAATTAATTATTTGTTTAAAATGAACAATTAATTAGATTTATTATATAGCACTTAGAAAAGGAGAATATTCCATAGTCTTACTATGCTTATACTATTTGATTAATATTATTTTTAATTGATAGATTTAAAAGGGTTACATTATAGACATTTAAAAAACCCATCAAACTATTTAAATTTGTGTTTTGTACTGCAGTTAATCCAGATATTTAAATACTATTTACTGAATCAAACTAAAATATGGGTATCTCATGTATCTGGTTAAAATTATTACTCAATATTTCTAGGTTGTAAATTAAAATTTATGATATATTGTTAAAAAGGAATAGAGAGTTTGCTTAGTTGAGGTCACCTGAACACTCTCTAAGGTCTTACTAAGATATTTTAATATTTTAAAATATAATTTTTTGAACGCCTGAAAAGATTATTTTATTACTGCTAAAGCATTAAAAGTTTATTGTAATATTCTAAAAAATAATTTGTTGGGTATTTTAATTCTAATTTATATTGATATTTAAGTTTGTATTGTTTTCGAAATCTAAATTGAAGTTAGCAAGTTAAAAGATTGGTAAATTTAGGCTTGAAAAAGTATTATTTGATAGAAGTATAAAACTATTCTAAATATTATACGAAGAAACCACAAATTATCTATTTTAATATTAAGAAATGTACTAAATAGTTTTTTATAGGTCATTAACTGTAACTTATAGATAGACATAACTTTAATAATTTTGTTAATCTATTAAAAAGATTCCATTTATTGATTAAGATTTTATTTATTTTGGATAAACAGAATTTAAATTATTCTGGACTTAAGCTATTTATGAATTCGATATTAAAAGAGTGCATTCAGAGATTTAATCATAAGAAAAAGTATCTAAATTGTAATTATTTTCAAAAATTCCATTTTAATGCATTCCTATTATTTTTACTGAATTGCTTAAAGAATCCAAATGATAATCTAGAATTTTAGGATAAGAATAGTCTTGCTAAGAAACCAAGTTAACATTTTCTCCTTGAATTAAGAATAGTTCAAATTTATCTATGAAAAAAATTGCTATAACCTTGTCAGAAATAAAAGAAAAGTCTATTATTTTATCTTAAATAAAATTTTTCTTAATAACAGTAAAAAACCGGATGGGAGTGTCAAGATAAAATATATTTATTTAGAAAGCACAAGAAATAAGTATATAATTTTGCTCTATTTTTAACTTCTTAACTCGGATTGAGGGTAAAAAAAGATATTATTCTTGCAATTATTATGAATAATTCCATACATATGCTTTTTTCTGTCCTAAGAAGCAAAAAATATATCTTTTATAAGTCTCGTCAACTAAAAATTTTACTATGGTAGTATTAGGATCTTCGCTGACTAAATTTTTTAAATCTATTTATTAAATTTATTATTTATTAGAGATATCTAGTTAGATCATTATTCCATCACTCGAAACAGCATAAGCAACTTACTCAGTTTCTATAAACTAAATAATTATTATAGAAGCGTTAAGAGGGCTTTTAAAAGATACCCCAAATACAAATTATTATTTGTCAATAAGACTGTATAGAAGAACTTATTTATCACTAAATCCCACTAAGAGAAAGTCTTGGTTTCTATTTAAGCTATATGAAGTTACTAGCTAGGTAGAATTAAACTGAATTGTATTAAGAATTATACCATTTTATATATTTAAATGTAAAATCTGTTAATCATAAGTAATTATAAGGTTATCAGCTATAAATTGCTAGAACTGAATATTATCAAGCTTGTATATATTTGGAAGCATATTATTGCTTTTGCTAAACTAGTATTACTAGTAAAATAAAATTGAGTCTTCTAAAGCAATAACTAAAATATCGAATGCTTGATTATATTCGATGTCTACCATTCGAGAACCGCTTATATCTAATTCAAATTTTAGATAACTATTAGTGTATCTAAAAATTGTGTTATTATATTTGTTGAAAATTAGGTAGTCAGTCTGTAAGTTATTTATAAATATTTTGGAAAATAAATGATATGGTTCATTTAGCTGAGGCTCATAAGGCTATCCTAATATGCTGAGATCAAATGTGTAAAGGCAATTATAATAAATAAAAATATCGTTAGTAATATTATTATAATAAAAATATATAAGTCTAGCTTTTGGATCATTAAACTCATTTATTGTGATATAATTTTGAAAAGCATAATTTTTATCTAATGAAGATAAATAAAAATTTCCTAAACGATCCATATACATTAAGCAGTTGCTTAGGCTATAATCAAATTAAAAGTCTGCAATATCAATCAATTAACCTTATTACGGTGTAGAAGAAAAACTATTTATTATTTATTTGGTAGAGACATCAAATATAAAAATCTTGTCTCGTGAGCTTGATGTTTAAAATAATACATAATTTAAAAAGTCAATATGAATATATTTTAAGTTTGAGGAATCATCTAATGGAACACCCAACTCTGTTAAAGCAAGAGTAAGCCTGTCAATTAAAATTAATTCTATAAGTTTTAAAATTTTAATTAGTATTCAATGTAGAAGTTAAAAATGAAAATTTAAAAAAAAAAAAATGAAAATTTCTTAATTTATTTGATAATAATTTTAAAAATTAAATAAAATTTTAATAATTCTTTTGGACACTTAAATTGAGGATTTTCAAGTGCTCATTTATTGAATAATTGAACAATAAATAAATTATTAAAATTAGTTAATTAAAGATAAAATTAATATATTTATTTTTTACTTTTTGAAGATTCACAAATCATCACAGATGGCTAAAATATGCAGACATCAATTTATTTTTCTACTGTCATTTTCTAGTATCCTTAAAAGTTGTAGATTTAAAAATTAGCTTGCAGTATAAATATATTTTAATATTATGAATCAACCATCATACTTATTTAGTTAACTTAACCAATGTAAACTTTTAAAAATTCTTTTAAGGCCTTATGAAATATAAATATTTCATATTCATATTAAATACTATTTTATTGTGAGTGCATTTATAAGCATATTAAATAATCTTAAGAGGTTTGACATGGATTGTATTATAGATTTTAGTATTTTTAATCTTAGATTGTATAGACTAGTTAAAGCTTTAGATTAAGTATTAAAAGGCCATACCCATAAGCATATATTAGGTTATCGCTTTCATCATAAATAAATCCGAATAACATAATTGTATTTTAAAAACTAAGGACTGCATTTTGTTATGATAAATCTCTTAGAAATAAGTTATCGTATTATTAATTATTAATAAAAATCCTTTACCAATAAATAATTATTGTATTTTATTTTGTAAAAACATACTAAGTAGTTTTTGAATTAGGTAATTATACTTCTTTATTAGTGAACATATCAAAATAGGAAAAATCTTTATTCAATGGAATATTTATAATTATTCCAAGCTATTAAATTTGAATAATTTTTCGAATAAAATATTTTCCAGTTTAAATTATTTAAGTAAATTTAGATTTTGGAGATAAAGAAGCAAGCAATAAACCGGTAGAGTCTCCAGCAAAGTAATTAAATGTAAAGTTTAAAGTGTTTCTTTTGTTTTTATTTAAAAAAGGATATTTAGAGATGTATTTCATATAATCTACACGAGTAGCGTTTGTTAAATTTCTTTATATATTTATATTGTATTCATAAATTTTATTGTCATTAAAGAATTTTATAGAGTAAAAATTATTCTATCCATTTGTTTTTAATTCTGCTTCCAATATTTGGAATTCAAAAAAAATTAAAAAATCGGATTTGGTTAAAATTTAATTATTATTTTAGATATTAAGTAAAAGAAACTCATTTGACCCTATTAGAACATAAGATTTATCATCATTCAATACTCTACTAGTAAATAGTATAGATTATATTTAAAGCTAATTTGTTTAATAAATTAGTGACAAGTTCAAATCATAAATGTTTAAATTGTTGAGGTTATCCACAATTATTATTTGTTCTATAAAGTAGTTATTAAACAATTCATCTTACAAAGAAGAAAATTTTGTAATTATTTTAAATGATTAACAATTAGAATTTTTTAATGAATTTATCTTTTAAATAGATTGTTTTGTTAAGTCTATTTAATACAAAGTAATATTAAACTATTAATCAATTTTATATGTCGTCAAAACTCTTAAGTCATTATTTAAATATATAGTTTTATAAATACTTAAATTTGAAAAATCAGAATTACAATTTTCATATAAAACTACTAACTCTGATGAATATACTCTTAAACATCCATTCTTAGCCATTATGAGTTTATCATTATTAGTTGCAAACTAAACAAATTAAGAAGACCCAATATACTATAAAATTTTTTATTTAAATATGTCAATAATTTAAAAATTGGCATAACTGTAAGCGATTATTTTATTGTTGTAAAATTTGGTTAATTATTCTATCGGATAAAGAAATATTGATTTTTTAAATTTACAATTAATTCCATCTGAGCAATCATAAAAATTAATTGAACTGAAATTATTTATTTGAACTAATATTGATGATTAATAAAAGAAATCAATTGTTTTATACAAACTATTGTATGGACTATTTTACTTTAAAACTGGAGATGGAGTAGGAAAGCTTGAATGAAATTATGTAATTGTTTAAATTTATATCAATTATTTTTACTGTAATTAGAGAATATTCTTTTTAATAATCTAAATAGAATCAAGATTTGTACTTATTATCTCACTAATAAATTCTTTATTATTTGTTGTTATATCCAAGTATTTAATGCTAAAGAAATTTAAGGGATAGTAATTCAAGGAAATTTATTAGTTAATTTGAATAAATTGTTACAAATTTGTGTCAAACTAAAAAATTTGTAAATCTTGATTTTCCTAAAGCACAATTAATTAATTTACATTATCCAATAAATTACAGATCTCAAAATCTTTAATTTAAGGATTATTTTATATAATTAAATTTGATGAGTTAGTTTTAAAATTATAAAAAATCATCTAACTATCTGTACTGATAATCAAAAGCTCAGTTTTATCAGTATCTGAAAGATAAAATATTCTAGTTTTATAAATAGTTTGATTACCCATCACTCCAATTTAAATTTGTTGAACTTATTTATTATTTAGATTTATTAGTAATATTGATTGGTCTAAGCATGCTATGTACATTCCTTGCAAGGATTATGAGAGAATATTAAAATAGTTATTATTTTACTAAATCTAAAACTGAAAACTCATTTCGTTGCTCAAATTCAAGTTGTTATTATCTTTAACAGAAACAATAATCTAAAAAACTGAAATAGTAGTTTCTGTTTGAACAAATAAAAACTAATCAATAAACATAATTGACTATGCATTTATATTTATAGTACAATAATTCTATGATATAGAAAAAATTGACCTAATTTAGTCATAAAATATCTAAAATGAGATACTTTTAGATAAAATATTGTAAACTAAAAGATATTAGTCCTGCATAGAAATAATTTTAGTTTTGAGGTTGAAAGAAATCATCGATGATTAATCGAATTATGATATGACCCTTGATTCTCTTATAATGTCCCAAATAGATATAGTATTATCGATACTTAGTATGAATATGATACCGTTTACATTAAATAAATTAATGTCATCTTTTTAAAATTGCAAATTTTTGATAAAATAAAGTTCATTTTTATCATAGACAGATAGAAAACTTGATTGAGCCACATAATAATCATTTTGATAAACAAAAAAATTTGTGACTGTAGTTTATTAATTTTTATTTTAGTAAGAATCTATTGTAGATGAGCATTTTAACTAGCTTCTGCACATGTTAGTCTGTTTATTTATCCAGCTGAGAGGACTGCAAATAGCAACACAATTATTATTTTAGCTTTAAGTGCCAGTATTTAGATTCTTATCATAATATAAATTATTGTCACATTTAGTATAAACACACAGGTTTTCTTTGCTATTTAATTCATAGCCTTCATAGCATTCAGTGCATTAATTTTAATTGTTACCATCAGCTGCATTACTTTATCTAGAACATCCATCCACAGATATTTCATGCGCTTAAGCATGCAATTGAATTGATAAAATTAAAATGTAAATTTTGATAATAACTGATCTAATTATCATGAACAAAAATTGGAAATGACGAGGTTTTTGGTAGAAAGGGAAAATTAATTTGATTATTTTTAAATTTTTATCTTATTTTTAATTTTGAATTTGATTTTTTTATTAGATATATTTGTTTTAAATAATAATTATTATATTTTTATTTAAAATTGATGCTCTTTTAAATGGCATCTATATACAGCTAAATTATTAATTAATTATTTATTTCATTTTTTTTGATGGAAATCCCCAGAGCTTGATGTTATTCAATTTTGTTTGATACAAAATCGATATTAAAGTGAATGGGAAATTAAAAATTATTTAAATTCCATTTAAATTAATCTGAAAACAGTGCGTATCTTACTTATTATGGTTTTTATTTTTAGTCAAGCGAATAAATAAATACTTTCTTATATTAAAGATTTTTGAAATTTACTTAAATACATAATAGGTGTCTAAAAATATTAATGTGTACAAAAATAAAATTTATCTTTATTAAATATTATTTGATAGGAATTGGATGCTTTAAATTAAGTAAATGAGTGAGGGTAACATAATAAATTTTGAAACATATAAAAATAATAAAATATTAATTATATACTGAGGAAAATTCATCAGAATTTAATTAAATGTTTTATTGTTTGTTAATAATTGATTTAAAATAAATTTATTTTTTAGATTTAAAAGTAGCTTTTAGAGCTCTCACCTAAATAAATAGATGAATCTTATTTACTTTAATTATTGTAATCTTTTTTTCTCTCTTCAAATTAACTATTTAGTTTTGAATTTTGTTTGAATGTAAAATTCAAATGTAATTAACTAGTTTTCTTTTAATATTATGAGTTGTAGTTAACTGTTATTAATTAGGAAATGTTCCTTTTTTTATAAACCTTAAATCGTTATTTTAATAATATTTTGCTAAATTTAAGAAAAAATTATAAGGATTTAAAGGTCAGATAACTTAATTTTTGAATTTCTTTTAGCAGCGCTAAATGGCAGATGCTTATTTTTTAAGAATAAAAAAGAAAATAAATAAACTTTGATTTATGTAAATGAATCTTATTTCAGAATTCAAAAGAATATATTCGGCTGTTTAGTTTTTATATTTATAGGCTGTAGGTATTTTAAATTAAGTTTTTCTTTCTTTTTCTTTTGTCTTAAACATCATTAATATTCATGTAATTAATTAATGTTCTTAATTTTCAATGACGATGCAATACGTTATGAATTTTTCTAGTTTTCAAGATTTCAAAAGAAAAAATCGCCCCTTTACCTAAATTACTTACATCTTAAAGCCGAATGTTAATAAATAATAAATGTTCTTCTATCTAATTTAATTTATTGTTATTATTCTGTAATGAAAATTATCTTTATTTCAGTATATTAAATATGAATATCACCTAGTAATATCTTTAAAGTAGCATCTACTAAAAAATAATTTCCAAATTTATAAATAATTAGAATGCAATAATACTCTAAGATATCTAATTGACTACTCTTAAATCCAATTTATAAGTAAAATTAATTTTCGGGCCACTATCGATTATAATAAATTTTATTTTTTCAGTAGAGCTATTTAAATGCTTTTTTTGATATTATCGGGTGCATATATTTTCGTGACCAAAATATACAGTTTGTTTGAAGTTATTTGCACCAAACAATTTTCATATTTTTTTTTTAGCATATATAGCCAAATAATTTCATTAAAAAATATGAAGCTAAAAGATATATGTCTCTAAAATAAAATAATAAAAAGGAATTAAGAAGTAAGAAATAGCTTTTTTTTAATAATTTTTGTATTAGAAATATTCTTGTAAAATATTTGAATCTTTAAATTTATTATTCTTAATCAGAAACAATCAAGAGAAAATAAAAAGCAAGCTATGATATTATTAACATTAATTCAATGCAGAATATTTTAAATAAGTAAAATAAATTTTTTTGTTTATTTGATATAATTTGTTTATTTTTTAATCAATATATATAGCTAGCTAGCTACATTTATATATAAATTTTAAAACTTATTGATTTTATTATAGAATTTATCTAAAGCGTATCAATTATTTTTAATAGTTTACTTTCTAAAAATTAAAATAAGTATATTTTAAATTATTTTAAATTTAATAATATCTCTTAATTATTATATATTTTTGTAGAAATAATTACTAATTTTCATGAGAGATTTAATTATACTCATCAATAAAATAAAGTTTTAAACAAAGTTTATTTCATACTTAAATAAATCAGTCTTAATAAAATAATAGAATGTATCCTAAAATATTAATCTAATTAATTTATTATAATTGATATATTTTATTAATAATTTTATATTATTAATTCTTTTTTATAAATATTCATAATTTTTCAAAAAATGATAATTCAAAAAGATATCTTATAATTTATTTACTTATACCAATCAATTTAATAATTAAAGTTAATGTATATCTTGTTTTATTTTATTCAGAACAGAGTTAATGCAAAAAAAAGCCTGTGGTTTTTCTAGACTTGAATTGATATTAAAAAGCATGGTAAAATTCCTTTGTATTGAATAATTAATAATAAATTTAGTTTTATAATACAAAAGTTAAATAAAATAAATTTATTATTAAAAGTTAGTAAAAAAGTTTAATAAAATTAATTTATTCTTTCAAATAAAAAAGGTTGTCGACACTGGGACTTCCCAAGCGGTCCCCCACCTTAGTACTAACCCAGCCTTAAGGCGCTTAACTTCGGAGTTCGAATGGGATCCGGTGTTTTCACCTTAGTATGGCCGACAACAAAATTAATATCATTTAATAACTATTTATGACAATAACATTTAATTTACTTGATCACTTAATCTACAATTTACTCAAATAAATTAATATAAAAAAAAAATAATATTTCTTAAATTATTAAAAATTATTTTAAACAAAATAAAAAGGTTGTCGACACTGGGACTTCCCAAGCGGTCCCCCACCTTAGTACTAACCCAGCCTTAAGGCGCTTAACTTCGGAGTTCGAATGGGATCCGGTGTTTTCACCTTAGTATGGCCGACAACAAAAGTAATATCAATAAATAACTATTTATAACAATAACTTTTAATTTGATTTATCACTTAATCTACAATTAACTAGAATAAATTAAAATTAGCTATTAAAAATAATACTTTTGAAATATTTAAAAATACTATTAATTAAAATAAAAAGGCTGTCGACACTGGGACTTCCCAAGCGGTCCCCCACCTTAGTACTAACCCAGCCTTAAGGCGCTTAACTTCGGAGTTCGAATGGGATCCGGTGTTTTCACCTTAGTATGGCCGACAACAAAATTAATATCTTTTAATAACTATTTATAACAATAACTTTCAATTTGTTTTATCTCTTAATAATCTACAATTTACTCTAATAAATTAATATTAATAAAAATAATATCTCTAAAATGATTAAAAATAAAAAGGTTGTCGACACTGGGACTTCCCAAGCGGTCCCCCACCTTAGTACTAACCCAGCCTTAAGGCGCTTAACTTCGGAGTTCGAATGGGATCCGGTGTTTTCACCTTAGTATGGCCGACAACAAAATTAATATCTATAAATAACTATTTATAACAATAACATTCAATTATTTTTATAACTTAATAATCTACAAATTATTCAAACAAATTAATATTAGAAAAAATAATATTTCTAATTATTAAAAATTATTTTAAATAAAATAAAAAGGTTGTCGACACTGGGACTTCCCAAGCGGTCCCCCACCTTAGTACTAACCCAGCCTTAAGGCGCTTAACTTCGGAGTTCGAATGGGATCCGGTGTTTTCACCTTAGTATGGCCGACAACAAAATTAATAGCAATAAATAACTATTTATAATTAAGAATATTTTTATCAAATAAATTAATTTAAATTTATATTTATTAGCAAAAATAAAAAATTAATATTTTTTAAATTAAATAAAATATTTATTTTGAAAGATTAAAATGGAATAAAAATAATTTGTACTTATTATGATAAATATTTTAAATTTTAATTATTCTAGCAATAAAATTGTATTATTAAATAAATATATTAATAAATATATCTTTATTAATTTGAAAATTTATAAATATGCAAAAAATATTTCAATAAAAAATTACAAACACTATTAGATGATTAAAATATATCCTATATTTTTCAGTTTTTATTCTAACGCGTGTAAAGTTTTTAACAAATATCATATTACTTCTTTAGAGAAAATCAAAGTATGATTAATTACGAAAAGTCAATTATTGAAATTAAAAAATTATAACAAAAAATCTGATTAAAAAGAAAACTTTAAATTTAAATTTAATGATTGTTTTAAATGGTATATTTTAAAAATTATTGACTTGAATTGAAAATTATTACTATTTATCCTAATTAAACACGCTTTTCATTTTCTTAAAGATAAATAATTAATATTTAATTATATAAAGTTAATTTTATAGAAACATAAACAAAAAAAGATATTCTGCAATGAAAATTAATAATATAATTGTTTTATCTATATTATTCATCTGCTTTTCTAAAGCAGAAAAAGATGAAAGTTAAGGAAAATTAATTTAAAAATACAATAGGGAAATTGATTGAAGTTGAAGGATAATATTATGATCTAAATAATTTTGATGAAGGAGAAATTTTTTATGGTTTAGAGTTTTAAGGTGAAGTTTCATATAGCTAGAAAAAAACTGAAGAAATTGGATTGTCTAATCAAAAATTTCAAAGTTAGCTGGAATAATAGGCATTTGTTACAGGCGAACATTAAAGTAGATTATCAATAAGAGTAAGGTCAAAATACTTAAAATTTCTTATTCTTTATGAAGAAATTTAGTAGAGAGGAAAAATTGATTTTAGTTCAATTAGATAATCAAGCCATTAATATTAGTTTGATGAGATCATAAACAAAGATTAAATTTATTTAGAAATTTTGTAAAAATATATAGATAAATGTGTTCAAGCTGATATTTCTTCATATGCAATCAAAGTACTATAAAAAATATTGGAGAAAAAAATGAAATAATTTTAAGATAGTATTTATTCTTGAATTGATTGATTAATATTATATTTAAGAAATACTTAAAGCTTAACAAAATTATTGTGTTATTTATATCTATCTATCTATCTATCTATCTATCTATCTATCTAATTATCGATTCGTAAATTAACTTTATTATAAAATTTATTTTATTTAAAACTAATATTGATTATTTTTGTAAAGTAAGAGTTAATTAATACCATCTTAAAATTACTAAAAATTATTTTATTTAAAATTCTCCAATTATAAATTCCCTTATTTTTAAATATAATAAAATAAAACACATTTAATTCTATTATTTCAATATTTTTATATTTATCAATTCTTTTTTTAACATCTAATTAATATATAAACTAAATTTTGTTTGAATTTATGAATTACTCACAATGAATTCTAATTTATTTTTGATTAAATAACATAAATAGCTAAATTGATTATTTTTTTTTCTCTCCAAAAATCTTAAATATTTTCATTCAACACACACATAATTTCTATTTCTAAATACTTTCAAAATTTTCTTACATTTTTGTGTTATTTTTAACATATTTCAGTTTTCTTAGATCTCCTAAAGAAAATTCATTTTTTATGTTAAAAATAAATATTAATGCAAGTTTTAAGTAAAAATAACCTTTATCCTCCTCCTCTATTTGCACAAATACATATTTGTGATAAAATTGCAGAAATAGTAGCTTTAACTGTTAATATTTTAAGATAAATTTAGTTGAGTCAGATCTTAAATACAAGTTTTTCCTACATAATAAAAATCTTAATTATTTAAGGATTCCGAATTAATTTTTAATATAAATGTATGTATTAAAATGTATTCATTCATTAAATCAAATTTATTGCTTCAGATAATTTGAAAGTATGATCCATTATAAATGCTAAAACTGCCATAATATTTAGATAATTATTTTCATTTGCAAAAAGTGTAAGGATATTAATTTTGATATTTCCTACAACTTCTTTTTGTAATCCAATTTTAGATCTATTATTTTATTCATTTCAATATTTTTCATCAACAATATTTTGATTAATTACAAAATCTTCAAAGCTTTTCAATGCGTTTGATGAATTTTTAAAGAATAAATATCTAATATAATGGGAACAGCTGTAATTTGAATAACTATCTTCCTAATAGCCTTCATGTAGTGAAAGTTCGAATCCATTTTTTGGTTAAATTTAAACTTTAATAAAAAAATAATAAATAAACTCTCTAAATTTCTTTGACTTGAATTAAAATTTCATTTATATATTTTCTACTTTTTCTTCAAAATAAATGATACTTTCAATAATTATATTGAGCAAATATGTAAGAAGTAATTTAACAAGACAGTAATAGATGGTAAATTACAGTAGTTTCCAATATTTTTCAACCCTAATTCACTGAGTTGATCTAGCTTAAGTACAAAATCTGAGATTTAAAATAGCTTTGAAATAGACATCAAATATTTTACAACTCTTCACCTTTAAGATTAATAAAGATTAGATTTATGAATTATAATTTTATTGGTATTAAGGATAATTTTAACTAGATTAACTTCAAAATAATAATCTGAACTTTATTGATACATAAAAGGAATGTATCAATAACAAATAGCATAATAGTTATCAAGAAATATTTTTAAAATAATTTGTAAAATAGCTAGTAAAAAAGTAAATGGATTGATTAGAAGAAGAAACTTGGAAATTAAAAATACAATTTGATTTATGAAAATTATATTTAAGTAACTTCTTATGGATAAAAATTAATATTTCAGACAATAACAATTTGGTGTTTTTGATTAAGCGAATTTTACCGTAATTTATTTTTTGAAAAGTGGGAACAAAACTCGAGGAATCGAGTGAATAATTTGTGTTTTCACTCTTTGGAATTAATCATAACCTTAATTCGAGGAGAGGAATTGTCAAACTGAAATTGCGGTAATTAATTTTTAGAATTGCAAAGAAATTAAAATTTGATCCAGAAGAAAAATTTAAAGATATATGATTCATTGAAATTTGGCAATAGACAAATTAATAATTTAAATCTAATAAATCAGATTTAATAAGTTCATAGTAACAGAAAATAAATGCTAGGGTAGATTGTAAAATATAAAGATTATTGATGAATTTTATTAATTCTGTAACAAAGGTTTGTTATGAAAAACAAATTGAGGGAAATACTTTTGATTTTTAAAAACTTCTATAATTGAAATAAACTTACTTATATTAAATATTGGCGATTATTGGAAACTATATTTTTAATAATTATAATTCCAAAACAAATTAATAAATAGATAATCTTAATTTTTTGTCTAAAAAAAACTCAACTAATTTTCAAAATGAAGTATTTGATACTTATATTTATAGCTTTTGCTGCTCTAAAAATAAATGCACAATAATTCGCTCCTATTACAAGTTAACTAGTATAAAATATAAACATTTTTGATGGTAGAATAAGTTGGATGGTGTAGCTAAAAAATGGTAATTTATTAATAAAAGAACATCTATCTAATTCTACTATGCCTGCTTATACTGATGATTCAACCATACATATAGCTTCTGGATGTAAATGGCCAGCTATGACAGTAATAATGAAATTGGTAGAACAAGGTAAACTTAGTCTTACAGATACAATTTCTAAATTTTACACAAACAATGAATTTTCTTAGTAATAAAGCTAAATTACTCTTCTTTAATTAATGACTCACACTCACGGGTATGGATATTTTGATGATTGGGTGGCTACTTTAGATATAAATCTTTAAGATTCTGCATTAGGTATTGCTTAAGGAGGTTAACTAAATGGTAAATATGTCCCAAAAGAGGACTTAAAAAATCCTCCTGGTACAACTGTACTTTATGGTGACATAGGTATGCAAATAGCTGGAGCAATAGCAGAGAAAGTTACTGGAAAAGGATTTAACCAGCTTTTTTTAGATCTTCTTGGGAATCCTATGGGAATGGTTAATGCTAAATTTACTGCTTTTGATGGAGAAATTGGAGATAATGTCGCTATAGCTGATGGATTTTATGTAAGGATGATCGATTATGCTAACTTTATGCTTATGCTCATGAATGGAGGTGTATTTAAAGGCTAAAAAATCTTAGAAAAAAGTTCAGTGGATGCAATCCTCCAAGATTATACTGGTAATTTAAAAGTAGATCCAAGTAATTCAAATTATGCTACTAATGGTAAACTTAGTTTTGGACTAGGGAACTGGATATTAAATGACGGTACTCGCCATTCTTCAAATGGAATACACAAATTTTACAATTACTTTGATACATAATATAATTACTTGGCTATTTTCTATTTAAGAACAAAACTAGATACATAAGATAAAACAGATGATCTTTTTGATAAGCTTTCTTTACAAATAGACAAAATAGTAAATAGCACTAGCAGTTTTAGTTAGCCAACTGTAACTATAAAAAGTACTAGTTTTAGTTAAATAATCAAATTGCAAATTCTAATATTAACCTATATTATCTTTATGTGAAAATCAATTTGTTTTATAAATAAGAGATTTTTTAACCTTTTGTTACATGATTTTTAATTAATTTATATTTTTATTATTCCAATTTGGATCCGAAAATCAAAATCAAAATTTTTTCATACTAAATATTGATACAAGCTCAATTAAATCTTAAAAATTTGAATTCTAAATGAAAGTTTTAAAATAATTAAATTTCTTAATTTAGTTCAATTTTAAAAATCATAATATAACTTATGAAATGATGGAGGAAAAGACTAAAATGAGTCAAGAAACAATTCTTATGATCATCCATGAAATTTTAGAACTAATTAAAGTACCTTTAGGTATGTTCCCCATATACGCAAAATAAATCAGATAGGATTAGCATAAGCAAAAAAAATTTAAACTACTTTAGAGACAGAAATGGAAAGCTAAGTGATATCTTAATGAGTGATGAGACTTGTGTATATAACCAAGAAAAAGAGTAGAAAGCATAGAATCGCTAATTGAAAGTGATTGATGAAAACCCTCCAACCATCTTTAAAAACAAGTTTGATAATAAAATTTATTTATTTTATTCTTTAATAAATAATAAAAAGTTAATTTGAAAATGCTATAAAATGGAGATTTTTGTGAGTTTTTTTGGGTTGAATTTTCTTCTAAAAATGAAATAAGTATATACTGTCTGGATTATTTATATTTTTTACATAGTAAAACTATCATTCATTTTATTTATTATTTTATTAGACTTAAGATATTTCTCAATCTAATTTCATTCTTTATTTCTTTCAAAATTACGTCAGTTGATGATCTTAATAAAACAAATACTTAAATGAAAACTAAAAATTTTGATGAATCATATTATTTTTACTTCAATCAGTTGCTTTAAAATACATTGAATTTTTTATTCCTTTAAGAAACTTGATCTATTTATTAATATGTATTAAAGTATTTTCGATACATTTAAATTGATCTCTATTTACTAGTGAATATAATTAACCAGTAAGTAATAGATAAATAGATATTGATTAAATATTTCAGTGTCAAATTTATGATTATTAAAATTATGACAAACTATCTGCGATTAGATTTGGTTTATATCCATCCTACTAGTTATTCTAGTTATAGTTGAACATGAATTCATATTTATTTTCATTCATTTGATTAAAGTGTAATTATTAATTTACTTTTAGACATATTGTATTTAAATTACATACCATCTTTCTTTTAAAAAAATTATGAAGTTGAGAATATTTAGTCAGCTTAACCTTCTATTTTTGAATTCATTATAAGTTAGGGTTCTAGTGTATAGAACCAATGTTATTAGTTTAAGCTGTTGTATTGATTTGATTATAAATCAATCAGTTTCTAGTACTAAATCTATTAGATTTATTTATCTAATTATTAATTCTTTTTCTCTTTATATCTTTTAAAGATACCTTATTGAGTTACTATTAGCTTAGATATTAGCTAAAAGAAATGAATTTAGTGAATAAACTGTTAGAATATATTAATATAAAATATCACTTATAAAGATAAGTGGTGCTTTAAATATGTTTTCAATTAGTTTTGGATATTAATTCATCCATTAAAATCAATTAAATATTTCAGTGATGTTTCAGATGTGATTATTATTTAATTAAAAGAAAAATTCATAATTTAAAATTCTATGTTGATAATTTAATTTTAATGTTAAGTCAAGTGATTATTTAAAGAAGAAAATTGTTCATATTTTAACTTAATGATTCAAGTCGTATATGGAATATTTTAAGAAAATATTATAAGATGTATAAATTTTATCTATTATAATGTTGTATGGCATGCCAGAGCAGAGATATATATATGCTATGACATCTGGCTGGAAGTAAGCTTTAACAATGTTAATATGCGAGTTAAATTACTAAGTTCAAATAAAAGTATAAAGTAGATTATTTTAAGGTATTAATTTATGGTTCTAGGTAACATTTTTAGAAAGAGAAGTTTTTGATTGATTCTGTTAGAGAATAAGTTTAGCTATAATATGCTAGTATGTTTTCATAAATTTAGTATTCTTTTAAAGAAATATTAATTGTTGTTTATTATATTCTAAAAATTATTTTAAAATTGACACAAAGTGTTTATAAAAATCACCACTACCACTTTGTAGAACTAATAAACTAAAATTTGAAAAAAATTAAGAAATATACAAGTTAAGCTAAAAATATATCATATAGAGGTCTTTGTATTTAATTAAGATCGTTTGTAATTATTACAATCATTTTCTATCACTATTTAATTTGATTGATGATCAGTTTTTTATTTTTACTGAGAAAATTAATTAATTTAGCTTGATTAATATTTTACCTAATAACTAAAAATTCAAATTAATAAATTTATTTCAAGTTTAAGTAAGTAAACACAAGTAATTAATTACAAGTGCTTTACTTAAATAATTTTTTAATTATTATAAATCATCTAGATAGATTTAACTTCTTAATTTTTCTTTAAAAAAGGATATTTTATCATAAAAAATTAAATAATTTATATTAAAAAAAATCAATCAAATTAAAATCACTGAAATGAATAATAAGTTATCACTCCTTATACTATTTGCTCTTCTTTTAGCAACTGCTTTTGCTTAAGATGTAGATTTGCTTGAACATGAAAAAATTAATAATACTACTACTGTTGCTCAGGATGATCAATAAAAAGAACAAACCACATCTAATCTTGAAGTTGTTAATCTTAACCTTCGTAAAGTTAAGCAAGAAAATGAAAAAGAAAGAAGATTAGAAGATGGAATGGATGAAGAAATGTAAAAGTAGGCTGCTCTAATGGAAGAAAAATTGAAATAGATGGGAAAGAAAAAACCAATCATAAAAAAAGATGCAGACAAAAAGGTATTTAATTCAGCTGATTATTATAAAGATAGAGAAGATTCTGGAAAGAACTGATATACAATCTAACAAATTAACTATCCAAAGAGCTAGATGAATTTTTTAACTATGTTTAGCTATTTATTTATGAATAAATTAATAAATAAATAAATAAACAATAATCTTAAAAAAATTAAAATTCTTCATATTCATGTATATTGGCAGTAAATTTTTTAAATTAATTTTAATATACAGTTATTGAACCAATAAATGAAACTATAATTTTTTTATCACAAAAATAAATTTTTATTTTAAATATATATGTCAGTTATCAATTTATTAGTTAAGAAGAGCTTAATAATTTCATATATGTATTATTATGAGATTCGATCTCTAACTGTTAAAATAATAATAATTATATTAAAACTGAATTAGCTAAAGACATTTATAGTAATTTATATTATATTCTGTATATTTTAAAGATACTGATTTAACTATATAATAGTAAATTATCAAAAAGAAATTTAAATATTGAAATTTATACAAAATTGTAATCGTCGTAAAACTTAACAGTTTTAATTTCATCTAAAATTTCATAACCTTAACCTATCTTTTTTTATATAAAATTATAATTAAGACTTTAGTACAATCGGACCTCTTAGTATGTAAATTTAGAATCACTTAGATTAACTCTATGAAAATTATTTTATAATGATATTATCTCAGTCTTTTAAAAGTAGAAGAGTAGAATCTTTTAAATTAACTAATCGCATTTTTAAAAAGTACTACCAATCAAGTTTACATCTAAATTAATAATTATAAATTTTAATCTTTTAAATATTTTTTCATTTTCTTTTTACTGTTTTTTAAGCTCTTTCAATTGTTAAAAACTATTTACTCTTATTATTTTTGGTCCTTTGAAGTAGCTTAGTATCACATAATCAATAAGAGAAACTATCTTCATTTTAATTTAAAATATAGACAATCCCAAAATTATTAGTGCTTATATAGAAAAGCACAAACTTTCATCTTTAAATATTCTTAAGTGCTAAATGAAAAATTAAACAAATACATACACAATCTATGTAAGTTGTAGAAAAACTATTGAATTTCTTTACCATTCTTCTAAGTGATCAATAATTCGGGCTTACAAAACAAAAGGAATCCTAATATCTACAAAATATCCAAAAAATACAATGAAATAGAAAAAATAAATGTAGCAATCTTTGTAATGCTTAGAAATAAACTAAGCTGTAAAAGCTAAAAATATAACAGTGAGCCCTAAATTTATAATAACCATATTAATTAAAGATTAAGAATCATGAATTATATAGATTAGTACTAATCCTTACTATCCTATTTATCCAATAGTTTCTAAAAACAATTTTATCCATGCACTTTTTAGAGTGTGTTTACTTTCAACTATAATAGGCTAAAATAAAGAAGCCAAAATCATTTAAATTGGATAAAAGTATGCTAACAAAGGTATGATTAATTATTTTGGATCTAATAAGAAAGCAAGGGTGATAGATCCAGCCACTTCGACTACGTAAAAAACTAATCTTTTTAAATTTAATCTGTATTACATGAAGCATTCAAACCTATTATTTTTATGAATTTAAAGTAAAGGTATCTCTCCTAAGTTAAATAAGCATAGAATGTAAGCGAGAGACTTACTCTTTATCTCGATGTTCTTGTAGATGTATAAAAAGTTCAAAAAATTTTCAATCATGATTGCTGTACCTATAACAGACCATATTATCCATTATGTAATTGATTTATCCTATTAATGAATATGATATAAATTAGAGTAGAAATAAATACAATAAATTTACATCTAAAGCTATGAAATACAAAAGCTAAAACAAGAAGCAAAAATATATGACTTTATCATAAAGAAAGTGAACTGCAAAGAAAGCATCCATTTAAATTTACGAAGCCGCAAGCATGTTTATTTATTTATTCACTAAATCTATCTATATTAATCTTCTATTTTAATTTAAAAAAATCTTATATGACTATTTAGTAAAATATTTGGAATTATAAATTACAAATCAAAAAACTGTATATTAGAGTTCATAAATGAAATACAATATGCTGGTTTTATGCCTATATCAATTTATTAAAAATAGAATGTTTTAAATTAGTAAATATATTCATATATGAAAAATAAATTTTACCTTATAATATCATGAATTATCAAATTTTTATTAATATATTTAATAGTAATGATTCATATTTCCTTTTATTTAAAAAATATTTTACTTAATTTATGCATTATATTTATTGTTTATCATAACTTTAGATAATCTTTTTAATTTTATTTAGTATTTTAATATCATGTTTCTACCAATTTCTTTATTTATTTAAAAAGGAATTTATTTTATTTAATAAAATAATTATTATTAATTAACTTCTCATATATTTAATTTTTCAATCAATATTTTGATAAAATGTTTTTTTAAATTATGATTAACTAAAATTGAAATTATAAATATTTATGAATATTGATTACTTACTTTTGTTGTCGGCCATACTAAGGTGAAAACACCGGATCCCATTCGAACTCCGAAGTTAAGCGCCTTAAGGCTGGGTTAGTACTAAGGTGGGGGACCGCTTGGGAAGTCCCAGTGTCGACAACCTTTTTTTTTATAATAATTTTAATTTATTTAGCTTTGTTTTATTAATCATTGTTTATTTTAAAATTAATTAATTTTTTCATTTGCAATATTAATAAATAATCATCGCTATTCGTCAGCAATGATTTTTTTAATTTTAGGAATAGACATATATAAATTAGATATTATGAAAAATAAAATATTTATTTTCTGAAATATTTTGATATCTTAAATAAAAAATAGTAAGTGTGTCATCAAAATATTTAAATATTTTGTATAAAAATTACAAAAAAAATCTTTCATTCATAAAAAATAAAAACATTAAAAAAAAAGAAAATTAATTAATTAAACTATTTGCATTTTTCTAGAATATTTAGAGAACATTTTTTTATATAAAATAAGATAAGCATTTTAAAATTTATAGTACCATATTAAAAAAAAATACATAAATTCTTGATATGAAATAAGCTTATTAATTCAACATTAACGACTTTTAAATTGATTAATTTACTCTAAATATTATAGAATAAAAAAATCAAATTTTTATTATTTAAAAAACAATTATTTTATGATTTTAAAAAATATAAAATGAAAAAAATGATAATAAGATAAGTTAAAAATTTGAGAAAAAAAAACAAAGATAAACATTATAAACAAAAAAGTTAAAATAAAAAGTAAAACTTGATTTCTCCCTAAGGTTTTATTTAAATCATGGCATCTAATTAATCAAGATAAATAAAAAAAGGATAAAAATATGATTGATGCATAATATTTAAGATTAAAATATAACTAGCAAAAAAAGTTTAGCATTTATATAATTTAATAAGATGTAATATAACACTAAAAGTTTCAAATTGTTTGATCGTTTTTGGAGAAACCAGAGAGTTTGCTTAAGAGCATTTAATTTTTTATTTTTTATATATAATTTATTTACTTACAAAAATATGAATGATATTTATAAATATAAAATCAATAATAAAATCTATTTATATTTATATTTTAGGTTTTAATTTTTTTCAAAATATGAAATAATAAAATATATAATATTATTCAAACATTTTATATTTATTCATCCTTTTTTCACTATTAGAAGTGAAAGACAACTAATCTTTTTGATTTACGACACTTGCTTATTACTTTGAATATTTATGATTCATTCATTGAGGTTAAACTTTTATAATAAATTTGTGAAAATTATTAATAAATATCAAAATAGAATAAACTTTTAAATTAAAAATTATTCTTTAAATTAATAAATAAAATAATATTAGTTGAATAAAAAAGATAAAAAAATAAAATAAATAAAAGCTATCAAATAAATTCAAAGAGCTTTTTTGTTTTATATTCATTTTTTTTGTTTAAAATATCACAATCCAAAACAAATAAACTGTTTTTACACAAGACTAAGTGTCAAATTTGAGAGATTAATGCAATTTGCTAAAGCAGAACCTAAGCCTGATGCACCTTCATCACCAATTTAATTGTCACTTTTTAAATATTGAAGAAAAAATATATCATTAAATAGTTAATTAGAAGGAAAAAATGAAGAAAAAA